GTCATTGGATCAGCATTCGAGATTTAATATATTACTCCATCTGTTCTTTATTATGAGAAACATTTGATGTTTATGGCATGTTTTCCATATATAAGAGACACTTAAAAGTTGTCTCTATTTTTTTGTATTGATTTTCTATTTTACCCCTATTTATTTTGTTTCCAACTCATACTCTCTCTCCCTCCCACTTCTCTTTCTTTTAATAATTTAATTGCTCTCTTTCATACTCTCTCTCCTTATTAATGGGAGCATTGTTGGAAAAAACATTACACTTTTTACACATTAATTGTCCTCAACTAATTTTAACTGTTTTTTTTATCAACGTAATTTGGTTATTTGTCTCTTATAAGTATAAGCTCATTATTGAATTAAATAGCACATATATATTTGAGGGGTTAGAAATTAATTTGCAAACATGATAAATATGTGTAATATTTTAATCAAAACATAAAGATACTCAGATCAAATTTATATCAAATTTTAATAACTTAAATTTATTTATGTACATTATTTGTTTAGTTAATATTAAAATAATATTTTTATAGGATGTTAAATCTCAACCGTTTAATATCAAAGTAATGAAGATTAATACATTAAATCTCAATCATTTGGAAAGTACCGTGGAAACATTTGTCGTGAGATTTTTAATGTTAGCCCCGAAATTTTCGCTCCTTAATTAATGGAAAATCGCTTTACCCATTAAATACAAAATTAAGTATTCAAAAAAGTGATAGACAATTGTCCTTTAATTGAAGAGACACGGTCTTGAAGTCATTCCGTGTTTTATTTTTATTTTATTTGAGTGGGGACCAAAAGAGAAAAATCACAAGACAGTGCCGGCATCCCTGAATCTCGAGGATCAGTTATTGCGTAGGTAGTGAGCAGATGAATTGACGATCCGACCCTCATTTTACTGAGGAGCGACGCATTGGAGCTACTTTCACGTCAGGGTTCGAACCGGAGTCCCACCTTCGCCTTTACAAGGAGGAATTCTCAAATGCACCCCGTCATCTGTGCTCCAACAAATGAAAACATAACATCTTGGACCATCTTGACCCTATATGCACTTTTTTTTTTCAATTTTAATTATTTAAAAAATAATAAAAAATTCATAGGGTTTGGTAATCCTCATCGCAACCACCTCCCCCATTCTCTCTTCCTCCGTTTCGTCATCAGAGTTTTTGAAAATCCTAGATCTGGAAGGGAGACCGGAAGTATTACGGATTTTAAAACTTCTTCTAGCTCTTCTTGATTCTTGCTTTAATCTTTCTAGTTGCTGGGATGGAGGGAGTCCAGTCAGCAATGGCAAAGGGAGGAAGAGAGAACATGGAGGAGGCAACGGCCATGATTACAAACCCTAGGAATTTTTTATTATTTTTTTAAATAATCAAATTGGAGATAAAAATCTTGACTCATGGGATTAAAATGGTCTGAGATGTCATATTTTTATTTGTTGGAGCACAAATGACGTGGTGCACTAAGAATTTCTCTTTTTTAAAGAAGTGAAAGTTGATGAGAAAAGTTGAGTTTTGATGTTTGATTTTTCTTATACTTTGAAGATAGTACCGGGAGTGTTCATGAAACTGAGTTGCCCGTTATGCTCATCCAAGTCCGCAAAAAATGCCTAACCAGCCCTAAAAAAAAATCACTCGAAAGAACTGTTGGGCATGTTCGAACTGGGTAAATTGTTGGGTTGGGCTGGGTATCGGGCACAATATGCTGCCCTGTCCATTTGGCTATGCCCACAAAAATATATATAATTTTATTCATATATATTTTATTTGCCTCATATTTATTTTCTGAATCAAACGCATTATTGCATTAATATTCAGTGTTTATTGTACTTATTTATTTTTGAATGATTTTGAGAGTTAGAAACTAGAAAAACAATTAATTTTAATAAAATATACAAACAACATTTTTTTTGTCAAAGCCCACTCCTCCTGGCTATTACAAAAAACAATTTCATAATATATTACTCCCTCCGTTCCTTATTATAAGAGACAAATAACTAAATTACGTTGATTAAAAAAACAGTTAAAATTAGTTGAGGATAATTAATATGTAAAAAGTATAATATTTTTTCCAACAATACCCCTATTAATAAGGAGAGAGAACAATTAAATTATTAAAAGAAAGAGAAGTGGGAGGGGGAGAGAGTATGAGTAGGAGACAAAATAAATAGGGGTAAAATAGGAAATCAATACAAAAAACTAGAGACAACTTTTAAGTGTCTCTTATATATGGGAACATGCCATAGGCATCAAATGTCTCTTATAATAAGGAACGGAGGGAGTAATTAGTAATAACAAAACTAAGGCCAAATTGCTATTTTAATATAAAGTTACATTAGATTATTTAGATGGACATAAATAATTAGTTAATTAATATAGTATATTGATTTATTGAACATGGAAGCCCGCCCTGCCCTGTTTGCATTTACCTAACCCAAAATTAATAGGGCTTTTTATGGACAGAACCGAGTAACGGGCTGGATTTTGCAGGCTTGCAGCCTGTTTATTTTTCAGACTAGGTATCAGGTAAGGATCTTGTTCTGTTCTGTCCTGTCCATGTGCAGTCCTAGATAGTATTTAGTTTTTTACTCGACTTTCTAATCCATCTGGATGGTAAGAATGAAGAAGCGAAAACGACAAGTAAAGAGGTGTAAATATATAAGGTTTTAATTTGAAAACCTCAGCTCCTCACTGGAGACTCACCACGATCCCCCAGCTGGCCGCGACTAAAGAGGCGGCTATTAGAATCTTATTTTGTACTAATAAGAGTTAATAATAAAGTAAAAAAATATTCTTTATAAAGTTAAAAACTAAAATGAAATTTGATGAAAATTTAAGATTGGCAAATTTACACCTGGGAAAATTCCTTACAAAGAATCCTAAGTATATGAAATTTTAGTTTAAGTACCTAGCACCCGAAAATTACAAAAAAGGAAATGAGGGTTGAATTGACATTTTGAAAATATTGTGCTATTAGCCACATGCCTTTATATGACATCAATGACATTAATAGAATTGAAAATTACAAGGGCTCAACTGATAATGATAAGTATTAAATTAGAAATTACAAGTTTTATAAATTTTTTTTTATCCTGCATTATTTTAGTTAGTTAATCAACAAAGTTTTGAACTAGAAACATTAAGTGTTTAATTAGTAATGACAAGTATTAAACTAGAAATAATAAGTTTCATAACTTTTCTTATGTCATAAAAAGCCATATAGGTAATTTCAAAATATTTTCAAAATGCCGGTTTAGGCCTCACTTTTTTCTTATTATTTTTAAATGTTAGGTGCTGGAATTGAGATTTCACATTATTGGAAGTTCTTTATAAGGGATTTTTTTTTCCTTTTATACTTTAGCCTTTTAAAAGTAAAAATTATAACAACCTAAGAGTCTGGAATAATTTTGTGTTTTCAAAAACAGAAAAACAATTTTTTTTTGATAATGTGTTTTAGTTGATTGTTTTAAAAAAAAAAAAAAACAGTAACATATTTCTAAAAACTAAAAAACCAAAACATTTTTTTTTCGTGCTTTCTTGTTTTTGTTTTTGTTTTTATTTTTTATTTTTTGTTTTAAAAAATTGAAGAAATATTCTTCTCTTCTCACATACTACCAGCTACATATTACTACCAAAGACAATTACTGCCTGCTAAGTACGATTTTTTATTTTTTTTCAAATTTGATTTTTCAAAATTGCTATCCAAACAGTTTTTATGTTTGTTTCCAAAATTTGTCCTAAGAAACAACTTTAAAAAATTGTTCTGAGGATTTAAAAAAAAAATGCAGAACGAAACAAACAGGCCCTATGTTTTTAAATCTTGAAGACCCAATATTTGCATGATATTTCTTTAAAAAAAAAAGGGTTAATGTTTTGTAAAGCAAAACAGTATTTGTTTGCCGTCATGTTAGTTATTTGATTTTATTTTCTGGTTATGTTATTTGTTTTCTTTGTGTTTGTAGATTGTATTGCACGTTTGAGTCTTTGTTTTGTTTGTGGCCTTGGCTATTAGTGTTTGTATTTTTTCAAAAAAATTGATAAAGTTGACTCGTTTTAGCAAAAAAAAAAAAAAAACAAGAAAAGGAATAAAAGCAGTAAATATTTCGTATACAGTATAGAATACAAAGGAGCGCTTTGTGTAATATAATTTTTAATTTTGATAAATGTTTTTATAGATTTTTTTTTGCCGAAGGTTTTATACATTTTTAAAATAATTATTTCTTTCACATGTTGATTAAAAAAATTTAAACACATGTTCATTAAAAAAAATTTAACACAAAAGTTTAATTTTAATTCTTTATCATATTTAATGCCTACTTCTTTAACAATATTTTAGACAAACGCATTACTCAAAACAGTTATGAAAAAAAGTATAACATTTATTTTATTGTTGTCTCAAAATTACTCAGTTTTTCAATTAAACTTTAAAAACTACAAGAGTTAAATAACTAATTTGCAAATATTAAAAAATTAATCCAATTAGTTATTTGTAATAGATAAATATTATCTTCATAAAATATCCTTATTAATCAAGTGCATTTGAATTGCTTCTTGATAGTATAGCAACTCCTTAATATATGTAATCATCATATTACTTGAGAAAAAAATAGATAAATAATGAAAACAAAATAGACTAAAATCTTATATTTAAAATCAAATTGAATTTTCAACTAAATCAAATATTTTTCTTCAGGAAAAATCATTTTGTAAGTAACTATAATTTTTCTTGATTTTTAATTTCGCACCGGTATACTTTTCTCTTCTAATTAAATAGATTAATTTTGTTCTGGGAGCATAGCCAATTTATGATATGCTGTTTGCTGTTATAAAAACTTGTACTCTTGGAGTATTTTTTTTTTCACTGTTAAAACCTGTATCCAAGGACTATATCTTGCTGGTATAAAAACTTCTTCTCATCTACCATAATTTTATTGTTGTAAACAATACTTGAGGTAATGATTGAAAAGAAATATAAAAGAGACATTGTGGAAAAACCTATAACCTTTTATCCATTTCAAAACCACTTTTACAAATACTGCATTACATACACATAATTCAGCTCTCACATATTAAATGATACAATACCCACAAATTACATATCTTTCGGTCCATACAAGAAACTAAAATAAACATTGGACTGTTTTTTAGGCTATTTCTTCTGGATGCACCAACACTGCACACATTGTCAGACACTTCTTCTGAAGCTTAGGAGGACAGTTGACAATTTTTTTTTTTTTTTTTGGGGGAAGATGGCAATTTCTTTGTCTCACTGGATAGAGACCATCTACATCTGCAAATTAATTTTCATTCTTGTCAACATACTTTCTTTTTTCAGGTTAGAGCAATTAATAGTAAACTTGACAGTATATCAATAACAGCAACAATATATAGCAATGCATATGTTAAACCGTGCAGTTTTTAGCAATGTCCAGAAGTCATCATTTTATAGCAGTGTTTGTTGTTAAACTTTAAGCAATGAAAATCCTTGGTTATTATTCTGATTTGACAAATCTGAGTCTACTTCCCTTGTCCCGTCCAAAACTGATTCTGAGAGACTTGCAACTCAAAAACATTAAGTTTAAAAACAAATTTTGCCAACTCATCACCGCTGCACAATTTTTTTTTTTTTTTCGCTTGCAAAACAAATATAATGACAAGAAAACAATACATCAATGGAGAACAAGGAGAAATATTAGCAAACAGGAATAAATCTTTTCCATCAAGCCATGTTTTAATAAACTCAATGCCAATGTTTTATCAGCACAAAATTCTCCTTGTTTGCCCTCGGAGTTTCAACCTAGATGCTTGATAACCTTAGTTTCCTATTCCCAGTCAAGAAACAATTTTTATGCTTCCTCCACTATTAACAAATCAAGTTTCACAGCATAAACAATAAGATCTTAAATTTTTTTTTTAAAAAAAAAGCAATCACTTATCCATCCTAAGTTTGTTAATGTTGAGTTATGTTAGAGTTTGGAAACCCATATATTATAAAATGAAAGCTCAGTGCCATAAATAAGCGTGAATGGATTGCATCACATGTTAATTTTATTGGTTTATTTTTCTGTTGTGAGATTTAGATGTCAAAGGATCAGAGGACAAAGAAAACGCCTATCAGCATTGCAATCAATCTTTTTCCAAACAACAAAACTAACTATACCCTCTCCGTAAGGAGCATCTATAATAAGAACTACCATCTCAAATTTCAGTAACAAGCAGTGTTATTAAAAAAACAAGACAAACGTTGAACTGAGAAGTCTGCAGGATCACGGTTGGACAAGTCAACTAACTGATTAAACATTACTTTTAGGTCCCATTTGTAGGAAGCATTGAGAATGAGAGGTAAGGATTGTAATTGGGATTGAAAGATATGTTAGAAGAGTACATAGAATGAAAGCTTGCATGTTACGTGGGATTGGACAACCCTATGTAAGTAGGATTGAGAAATACCATCTCCCCCTATGGTATTGCCCAGCCCCACATATATGGGATTGCCCCATTTAACAAGCGATCACTCTTTTAACATATGTTCTCAATCAAAATCCTAATCCTCACCCCTCGCTTTCAATGCTTCGTACCAAACGGGATCTAGATTCTTTCTAAAAGCTATGCATAAAACAAATAAATCAGCACAGACCTCCCAATGAAGGTAATGGTCAGTAGCATCATAATCAGTAGGAATAGAGACTGTATGGGCAGAAATCTGCTATACCTGAGAGCTTTAATGGTATGATCAGCTTTCAAAGATTTCAGCGGTCCTTGTATTCCGTTCCAAACAACATTGCTGGGTCTACAAAACGCACCAGATCATACCGTACCAGAAAGTCCATCCACAACTGACATTGTTCACTATTTTTGTTGCATTCTCGGCGAACAATTTCCCAACCCATTTTTTGAATCAAGTGAGGCATTCGTATTATATTGTCGTTTGAAACGAATATAAGAGCTTTATCTAGAAGTTCTTTTATTCCACTAGTACCAAAAATGCCATTGGCATCATTTAGGCTCATGATTTGATCTTTACGTTTTTGTCCAAGAAAGTAAGTGATGTCAAGAAATATCTGCCTTTGTACACCCTCTAATTCATCATAACTCATTTTCAACACATCTCGAATTGGAGGAGGGGCATGCTTCTCAAGTTTTCTCAATGTATTTTCCCATGCTTCTTTGCCTCTGGAACAAAGACACAAACCCAGAACTTTCAAAGCTAGAGGAAGGCCCTTGGCATAAGCAACTAGTCTTTTTGAAAGATCTTCATATCCCCTTTCAGGATGGCCCTTTTTGAAGGCATTTAAGCTGAAAAGCTTGAGGGATTCTTTAAAGTCCAATTCCTTGACCTCATATATGTCATGAAGTAGTCTTCCCGCAGCAGCTAGCTCTTGCTTCTTTTTGCTTGTTACAATGACTTTACTACCTGGTCCCCAACAAATTCCCTCTGGAACCAGATGCTTTAATTGTTCTCGAGTACCCACATCATCAAGCACCACCAAAACTCTTCTTTTACTAATAGGCATCTCTTGAACAGGAATGGATTTACCCTCCTGCAGTTTAGAAATAAGTTTGTCACTTAAATATTCCAGCCCATGCTCTTCCGATTCTTCTCTCACATTGTGTAAAAAGCAACGGCCTTCATAGTGGGAAGAGAATTCGTCATATGCAACTTGGGCAATGGTTGTTTTACCTATGCCACTGATGCCACAAATTCCAAGGATTTGAACTTCTTCTGACTCCATTTCCAAAAATAATCTAATACGTGCAACATGTTGATCAATCCCAACAAGGCCTTTTGATTCACTAGGACAAGGATGGGTAACATTCAATCTTAACGAAACATCATGTTGATCAATTCCAACAAGGCCTTCTGATTCACTAGGACAAGGAGCATCATGTTGATCAATTCCAACAAGGCCTTCTATTTCACTAGGATAAGGACGAGTAGCATTCAATCTTAATGAAACACCATTGATGATTTTCTCGATGAGCTCAGAGTCATGACTACATCAAAGGAGGAAAAAAGAAGTATCAGAACAAGAAGATGGAATAAATTGACTGATTAACAAGTGTTATAATTATATGCTTAGTACAATTCAGTGACTCCTAATCCAAACCATTTGTGAACTTAAGGTAAAATGATGTCACATTTTTAATCTTCATTCATGATATCAATGGTACTGCAATCAGCATCGTTGCATTAAATTTTTATGTAAACTCCAGCAAATTTTTTACCCTTTTATGGACATAATAATCAGTATATCTCTACTCAAGGTAGATGTAATATCTGCCATTTGGAACTTTTAGGATTCAGAAGGAAACTGTTGCAATATCATTAGAAAATAAGCATCTAAACATTCTGATGCAAAACATGCTTAGTTTCTACGAAACAAAGACAAATGTTTTTTCAAGGTCTAAATTAGGTAGCCCCCTATACACACACGGATATATCAACTGTTAGAAATTAATGTTTAACAAACAATGTAGTTTTCGAAAGCTGGCTTACTTGGAACCGGATGAAACATAGCCAGATATGTTAGCAGCATCCGTCATGGCTGATCTCCAATTTTGCACCTTCAAATCGTTTCCTTGAAGATTCAATTCATGATCAGCAAATGCATTTTCATAAGCGCCTTTCTGATGCCGTACATCTGAGGGATCTATGCCGTAGAAAACGGGTAAGACAATCTGTTTGTTCACGTTCCTGGACTCGATTATTTTTTCAAGCTCATTCAAGCACCATCTTGAAGAGGCATAGCTTTCTGAGAATATGACGATTGAAATTTTCGATTCTTGAATTGCTTTCAGAAGCGAAGATGATATTTCTTCTCCTCTCTCCATGTCCTCATCTACATGAGGTTTAATTTTCACCCGACATAGTTCCTTTAGCAGATGGCACACAAAACTGCGTCTAGTGTCCTGGCCGCGGAAACTGATAAACACATCGTGTTTTATTTGAGAATCATGGAAAGAAGAAGGAGAAGAATCACAAACCATAGTTGGGGAGGAAGAAATTCAAAAACTGGAAACAATGGGTTTCTTCTCCAGAAACTACCCTATATTGCAACAAAATCAAACTATCTGCAGAAGGAAACTGAAGAAAGTAAAGTCATAAATAGTTCCCAAGATTTGAACCCCCACCACTACTAGAGACTGCTGGAAGGTTCCGTATTATAATAACTGAATCCGTATTTTTTGATACTACCCGTTGACATGGATATTATAAAAGCCAGCATGCTTTCTTTGTTGTTTTATTTGACTAGAACCAAAAGAGAAATACCTAGCGTTGGGCGGCTGTAAGTTGTCGGTGCAACGAGGACCACTCAATTTTTTATATTAAATTGTCTCATCAAATTTTTTCTAAAAGCTAAAATATAAAAGTTATGAAGACATCCTTGAGAAAGCTAAAAGTAGCAACGTCAAGTGACCATACAGCCCACCACGCAACCAGCCTACTTATAATTTTACGCGTCCTATGTTGAAGAGCCTGAATTTATAAATTCAAAAAGTTTTTTAAGACTAATCTTTTAGAGTTGAGTTTTTTCTTTTGGACTTGCACTTTTCATATTGGCGTTCTTATTATTAACAGTGGACCAACTAGAAAGAGCTACTTATGAAAGGTTACGATCACGAAGGGGCTTACCGGTAGAAAGCTTGGTAAAGTGCTGCAGAGTAAAATTGTTAGGATGTCAACTATTGTGAGAGGGTGCGTTTTGGGATTGAACTTTCTGTTTCAAACTTGTGCTCATCCCACAAAAGAAATGCATGTATGCTTGAGGGGGTGGGGTACTTTTGGGCATTAGTGAAGGATTGATGTGATGGCGGGAAAAAGGAACTTGATTCCAGCAATGCTTCCCATAATAACAATAATAAGAGTAACATTTTTTTGTTGGCCGAAAAACATTGATGATCCTCAATAAATCCCACATTCGTTGCCTTCATTCGCATGTAATGGTAACAATGACCTTGATCCTTCCGACCTTAGCAATTAGCGTTCACCCACCGAAGACTATGTTTAAATATCTGTTGCTTTTCCACCACCGATGGTTTTTGTTTAAATGCCAGAGAGTTAACTTTTAACAAAAGGAGGTTTTGTTTGAAATTAAGAAGAATAATAAATATGGGAGAGTCATAAGTCCCATCAAAACAAGAATTCCCTTTCTTGTTCTGTGATTTGTGATGATCTTTTTTTATTTATGACTTGCAAATTCAACAGTAAGTACTTTCAACAAAAGTAACCGCTTGAAATATATTTTTATCACTCTCTACATTAAAGTTTTAAAGATTGTTTTGGTAATATATTTTTTTTCAAAATAAATAATTCCTACAAAAAGTTTTTTTAAAAGAAAAGAAAAAGAAGACAAAACTAAAGGGTAAGAGGGAGAGGGGGGATGAGGGAGTTGAAATAGGGGAGAGAGATCAAAGAGCTGACACCAGGACAAAATGGACCTCACAAAAAGAAAAAGTGAGAGACATTTTTGAGGATTAAGGGACATGGTATTGTCACCCTGTCTGGAAAAATTCATGTTTTTTTTGCATTCCAAATTTGTTTGTGTACCTAGTCCCTTTTATTTATAAATTTTTATATGTGTAGTTGTTATTGAGCCATTTTTTTGGTTGTTAAAATACATATTTCAACTTGTAAACTTACTGTATACAAAAAAAAACTTGTAAACTTAACTATGAAAATTTTTTAATTTTATTGGTCTATAGCTTAGCTTGTTATTTTGAAAATTGAGAGTTGTAAATTTGTATACGCATACAAGTTTGGGAAAATGACCACAAAATACTATATAAAAATAAAAAAGACAAAACATGCATCTAAATAAATAAAATGACCAAATGGGTATGAAGTACTAATCTGGAATTTGCACTTTTGGTGTAAAGACTGAAATGTCCTGATTGTTTTTGAAAACTAAGGAATGTATTCGTACAATGGAGAAAGGGAGAAACTAACTTCCTCATATGCTGATAAAAACATTTAAACACGAAAACTGAGGAATGTATTCGTGCAACGGAAAAATATAGATAATTTTTATTGATTTTCAAAATAATTATTTCTTTCATATGCTGATAAAAACATTTAAACACGTTCATAAAAGAAAATTTAACACATATTTTAATTCTAATTCTTTATCATATTTGATATCTACTTATTTAATAATATTTTAGACAAACGCATTACCCAAAGCAGTTACATAAAAAGTATGACATATTCATTTGTTGTTTTCTCAAAAGTTACTCAATTTTTCAATTAAAATTTAAATATTTTTTTTGGGAAAATCATTTTTGTAATTATCTATATTTTTCCTTAATTTTAGCTTGATTCCCATGTATTCTTCTCTTTTAATTAAATAGATTAATTTTCTTTTGCTAGTATAGTCAATTTTATAACTTTACTTTACCAGTTCCGCTAGACATTGTACAAAAACTAACAGTGTCAACAAAACAAAATTAAAGTATTTTTCTATGGAGGTTTTTTTTTTTTGTGCCTTCATAAGAACTCATATTCATCTATAATAATCTTGTTGTTTTTAGGATATTCGCATTTGGGGCGCTGAGTTCCCATCATTTGAAGCTACATATCTCGATGTAAACAATAATTACTGACTGGAAAAAAAGTAATGAGACGTTGTGGAAAAACTATGACCTTTCATCCATTTCAATATTACTATTTACAAGTATGGCATTGCTTATACATAAATTCAGCTCTCACATATTAAATGATACAATCCTCGCAACTTACATATCTTTTGATTCATGCAAGAAACTAAAACAAACATCGAACTCTTTTGGTGGCTATTTCTTCTGGATGCACCAAAACGGCACAGCTAGTTCCACACTTCTTTTGGAGCTTAGGAGTGCAGTTGACAACCTTTTTTTTTTTGTGGAAAGATGGCAATTGCTTTGTTTCACAGGATAGAAAGCATCAACACCTGCAAATTAACATTTCCATCCTTGTCAACATACCTTTCTTTTTTCAAGTTAGAGCAATTAATAGTAAACTTGAAAGTATATCCACAACAGCAACAATATATAACAATGCATATGTTAAACTGTGCAGTTTTTAGCAATGTCCAGAAGTTACCATTTTATAACCGTGTTTATTAAACTTTCAGCAAGGAAAATCCTTGGTTATTATTCTCATTTGACAAATCTGAGTCTACTCATTGCCACTGATTCTGAGGGACCTGCAGCTCAAAACACATTAAGCTTGAAAACTAATTTTGTCAACTCATCGCCACTGAACAACTTTTTTTATACAAAACAAATTTAATGACGAGAAAATAGTACATCAAGAGAGAACAAGGAGAAATATTAGCAAATAGGAATAAATCTATTCCATCGAGTCATATTCTAATGAACTAATATTTTATTGGCACAAAATTCTCCTTGTTTGGCCTCACAGTTTCAACCTTTCCCGGTCAAGAAACAAATTTTATGCTTCCTCCACTTTCAACAAATCAAGTTTCATAGTGCATATAATAAGATCCTAAATAATTGAAAAGAAAAACACATAATCACTAACCCAGCTTAAGTTTGTTAATGCTCAGTTATGCTGGAGATTGGAACCCGTATATTATAAAATGAAAACTCGAGGCCATAACCGTGAATGGATTACATCATATGTCAGTTTTATTGGTTTATTTTTTTCTGTTGTGAGATTTAGATGTCAAAGGATCAGAGGACCAAGACATCCAAGAACGCTTATCAGCTTTGCAGTCAATCTTTTTCAAAACAATAAAACAAGCTGTGCCTTCTCCTTAAAGGCAGCATCTATAATAAGGATTACTATCTCCAAATTCAGTAACACGCAGAGTTATCAAAAAATCAGACCAGACATTGAATTGAGAAGGCTGCAGGATCGCAGCTGGACAGCTCAAATGATGGATTAAACATTTTACTTTTAGATTCTTTCTAAAAGCTATGTGTAAAACAAAAACAAATCAGCACATGCCTCCCAATCAAGGTAATGGTCAGTAGCTTCATAATCAGTAAGAATAGAGACTATATGGCCGGAGATCTGCTATACCTGAGAGTTTTAATGGTATGATCAGCTTTACAGGCGAAAGAGTGCGATCCACACTTAACTGGCTTGTAAACCTACATCCACAGTTTAACATTTTGAAGTTACCAAGAAGATCAGGCATCAAATTGAAGTCATCTTTCTCAGCACATACAAAATCAAAATTGCAGAGCAAGTGTGAAATCAGATTGAAAAGGTTTTTAACAAAAATTGCAACAGATACACTACTTATCACATCCTGCTGGCCACCCTTCAGCACCATCCCACCAAACATCAATAGGTGATGCTCAAACACCATTCCTATCAATCCCCCATCACCATCTGCCTATATTCCTTTCCAAGCAAGACTGCGGGGTCTATGCTGCACACCAGATCGTACTGTGGCACAAGTTTCTCCCAGCGCCAACTTTGTCCAGTATTTTTTTTCCCCCCCCATTTCTTGAATCATGTCAGGCGTTCGTGTCATATTGTCATTTGAAAAGGATATGAGAGCTCTATTTAGAAGTCCTTTCATTCCACAAGCACCAAAAATGTCATTGGCATCATATAGGCTCATGACTTGCTCTTTACGTTTTCGTTCAAAAAAGCAAGTGATGTCAAGAAATATCTTCCTTTGTCCAACATCTAATCCATCATAACTTATTTTCAACACATCTTGAATTTGAGGACGGGGATGCTTCTCAAGTTTTCTCAATGTATTTTAATAAAAATGTAAAATTATTCAGATCAAGTTTTAATAATTTAAATTTATTTAATATACATTTTTTTTGCCAATGATTTGTATACATTATTTGTTAGTTGATACTAAAATAATATTTTTATAAGATATTAAATCTCAATCATTTAATGTTGACCTACTAGTAAGAATAAAGAAGGGGAGGGAAGTAGAAGGTAATAAAATGGAGAGGTTCCCTTCTTAGTTCTTACTTGATTTTTTTTCCCCTATTTTTTCTTCACTTACTATCTCTGTCATTGGATCAGCATTCGAGATTTAATATATTACTCTATCTGTTCCTTATTATAAGAAACATTTAATGTTTATGACATGTTCCCATATTTAAGAGACACTTAAAAATTGTCTCTATTTTTTTGTATTGATTTCCTATTTTACCCCTATTTATTTTGTTTCCAACTCATACTCTCTCTCCGTCCCACTTCTCTTTCTTTTAATAATTTAATTGTTCTCTTTCATACTCTCTCTCCTTATTAATGGGAGCATTGTTAGAAAAAACATTATACTTTTTACACATTAATTGTCCTCAACTAATTTTAACTGTTTTTTTTTATCAACGTAATTTGGTTATTTGTCTCTCATGAGTATAAGCTCATTATTGAATTAAATAGCACATATATATTTGAGGGGTTAGAAATTAATTTGCAAACATGATAAATATGTGTAATATTTTAATCAAAACATAAAGATACTCAGATCAAATTTGTATCAAATTTTAATAACTTAAATTTATTTATGTGCATTATATTTGTTTAGTTAATATTAAAATAATATTTTTATAGGATGTTAAATCTCAACCGTTTAATATCAAAGTAATGAAGATTAATACATTAAATCTCAATCATTTGGAAAGTACCGTGGAAACATTTGTCGTGAGATTTTTAATGTTAGCCCCGAAATTTTCGCTCCTTAATTAATGGAAAATCGCTTTACCCATTAAATACAAAATTAAGTATTCAAAAAAGTGATAGACACGGTCTTGAAGTCATTCCGTGTTTTATTTTTATTTTATTTGAGTGGGGACCAAAAGAGAAAAATCACAAGATAGTGCTGGCATCCCTGAATCCAATGTTTTAAAAGTCGGACCGGAAGTCGAACCGGAAAAATCAACGGGTCATGATTCAATCGGTCGGATCGGTCGGACCGTTTGGTCAGACCGGTGATGCAATAATTAATTTAAAACAATATTATATACATATAATTAGTATATATGAAAAATATCAAATTATTAAATAATTTAGAAATGCATTTAAATAATCTAAAATTATAATGAAATCATTGAAAATGGACTAAAACCTTATATATTTAAATTTATGTATGTTTAAAATATTTAATGATATTACAAATTATCAATTCATTCAAATCAAAATATTTTTTTAAACGATAGACCAAATATCAAAACAAAAAGACTAGCGACTTACGATTTTAACACCACAATATATGAAATTTTCAATGAAATAATACTCTATGGTTATAAATAGTCTAAAAATATATTAGGATATTTAAGGGGATCAATTTTTTTATTTTTCTTCTATTTTTTTTAAATTTTTAGTATTTTTTTAGTCAGGCTAAAAAACCGTCCGGTTTTCTGAAAACCGTTCCGGTTTCCGGTCCAACTCCGGTTTCCGGCTTAATAACGGCTCAACTCCGGTCCAATCCGGCTCATCTATATAAACGGTTTTTTGGTCCAAACCGAGCCGTTAACGAGTCCGGGTCACGGTTCAACCGGTTCGACCGTCCGGTCCGGTCCGGTTCTTAAAACATTGCCTGAATCTCGAGGATCAGTTATTGCGTAGGTAGTGAGCAGATGAATTGACGATCCGACCCTCATTTTACTGAGGAGCGACGCATTGGAGCTACTTTCACGTCAGGGTTCGAACCGGAGTCCCACCTTCGCTTTTACAAGGAGGAATTCTCAAATGCACCCCGTCATCTGTGCTTCAACAAATGAAAACATAACATCTTGGACCATCTTGACCCTATATGTCACTTTTTTTTTCAATTTTAATTATTTAAAAAATTATAAAAAATTCATAGGGTTTGGTAATCCTCGCAACCACCTCCCCATTCTCTCTTCCTCCGTTTCGTCATCGGAGTTTTTGAAAATCCTAGATCTGGAAGGGAGACCGGAAGTATTACGGATTTTAAAACTTCTTCTAGCTCTTCTTGATTCTTGCTTTAATCTTTCTAGTTGCTGGGATGGAGGGAGTCCAGTCAGCAATGGCAAAGGGAGGAAGAGAGAACATGGAGGAGGCAACGGCCATGATTACAAACCCTAGGAATTTTTTATTATTTTTTTAAATAATCAAATTGGAGATAAAAATCTTGACTCATGGGATTAAAATGGTCTGAGATGTCATATTTTTATTTGTTGGAGCACAAATGACGTGGTGCACTAAGAATTTCTCTTTTTTAAAGAAGTGAAAGTTGATGAGAAAAGTTGAGTTTTGATGTTTGATTTTTCTTATACTTTGAAGATAGTACCAGGAGTGTTCTTTGTTGGGTATGTTCGGACTGGGTAAATTGTTGGGTTGGGCTGGGTATCGGGTACAATATGCTGCCATGTCCATTTGGCTATGCCCACAAAAATATATATAATTTTATTCATATATATTTTATTTGCCTCATATTTATTTTCTGAATCAAACGCATTATTACATTAATATTCAGTGTTTATTATACTTATTTATTTTTGAATGATTTTGAGAGTTAGAAACTAGAAAAATAATTAAGTTTAATAAAATATACAAACAACATTTTTTTTGTCAAAGCCCACTCCTGGCTATTACAAAAAACAATTTCATAATATATTAATTAGTAATAACAAAACTAAGGCCAAATTGCTATTTTAATATAAAGTTACATTAGATTATTTAGATAGACATAAATAATTAGTTAATTAATATAGTATATTGATTTATTGAGCATGGAAGCCCGCCTGCCCTGTCTGCATTTGCCTAACCCAAAATTAATAGGGCTTTTTATGGACAGAACCGAGTAACGGGCTGGATTTTGCAGCCTGTTTATTTTTCGGACTAGGTATCAGGTAAGGGTCTTGTTCTGTTCTGTCCTGTCCATGTGCAGTCCTAGATAGAATTTAGTTTTTTACTTGACTTTCTAATCCATCTGGATGGTAAGAATGAAGAAGCGAAAACGACAAGTAAAGAGGTGTAAATATATGAGGTTTTAATTTGAAAACCTCAGCTCCTCACTGGAGACTCACCACGATCCCCCAGCTGGCCGCGACTAAAGAGGTGGCTATTAGAATCTTATTTTGTACTAATAAGAGTTAATAATAAAGTACAAAAAATATACTTTATAAAGTTAAAAAGTAAAATGAAATTTGATGAAAATTTAAGATTGGCAAATTTACACTTGGGAAAATTCCTTACAAAGAATCCTAAGTATATGAAATTTTAGTTTAAGTACCTAGCACCTGAAAATGACAAAAAAGGAAATGAGGGTTGAATTGACATTTTGAAAATATTGTGCTATTAGCCACATGCCTTTATATGATATCAATGACATTAATAGAATTGAAAATTACAAGGGCTCAACTGATAATGATAAGTATTAAATTAGAAATTACAAGTTTTATAAATTTTTTTTATCCTGCATTATTTTAGTTAGTTAATCAACAAAGTTTTGAACTAGAAACGTTAAGTGTTTAATTAATAATGACAAGTATTAAACTAGAAATAATAAGTTTTATAACTTTTCTTATGTCATAAAAAGGCATATAGGTAATTTCAAAGTATTTTCAAAATGCCGGTTTAGGCCTCACTTTTTTCTTAATTATTTTTAAATGTTAGGTGCTGGAATTGAGATTTCACATTATTGGAAGTTCTTTATAAGGGATTTTTTTTTCCCTTTATACTTTAGCCTTTTAAAAGTAAAAATTATAACAACCTAAGAGTCTGGAATAATTTTGTGTTTTCAAAAACAGAAAAACAATTTTTTTTTGATAATGTGTTTTAGTTGATTGTTTTAAAAAAACAAAAAAAAAACAGTAACATATTTCTAAAAACTAAAAAACTAAAACATTTTTTTCGTGCTTTCTTGTTTTTGTTTTTTTTTTATTTTTTGTTTTAAAAAATTGAAGAAATATTCTTCTCTTCTCACATACTACCAGCTACATATTACTACCAAAGACAATTACTGCCTGCTAAGTACGATTTTTTTTTTTTAAATTTGATTTTTCAAAATTGCTATCCAAACAATTTTTATGTTTTTTCCAAAATTTGTCCTAAGAAACAACTTTAAAAAATTGTTCTGAGGATTTAAAAAAAAAATGCAGAACGAAACAAACAGGCCCTATGTTTTTAAATCTTGAAGACCCAATATTTGCATGATATTTCTTTTAAAAAAAAAAAGGGTTAATGTTTTGTAAAGCAAAACAGTATTTGTTTGCCGTCATGTTAGTTATTTGATTTTATTTTCTGGTTATGTTATTTGTTTTCTTTGTGTTTGTAGATTGTATTGCGCGTTTGAGTCTTTGTTTTGCTTGTGGCCTTGGCTATTAGTGTTTGTGTTTTTTTTCAAAAAAATTGATAAAGTTGACTTGTTTTAGCAAAAGAAAAAACAAGAAAGGAATAAAACAGTAAATATTTCGTATACATTATAGAATACAAAGGAGCGCTTTGTGTAATATAATTTTTAATTTTGATAAATGTTTTTATAGATTTTTTTTTGCCGAAGGTTTTATACATTTTAAAAATAATTATTTCTTTCACATGTTGATAAAAAAATTTAAACACATGTTCATTAAAAAAAATTTAACACAAAAGTTTAATTTTAATTCTTTATCATATTTAATGCCTACTTCTTTAACAATATTTTAGACAACCGCATTACTCAAAACAGTGATGAAAAAAAATATAACATTTATTTTGTTGTTGTCTCAAAATTACTCAGTTTTTCAATTAAACTTTAAAAACTACAAGAGTTAGATAACTAATTTGCAAATATTAAAAAATTAATCCAATTAGTTATTTGTAATAGATAAATATTATCTTCATAAAATATCCTTATTAATCAAGTGCATTTGAATTGCTTCTTGATAGTATAGCAACTCCTTAATATATGTAATCATCATATTACTTGAGGAAAAAATAGATAAATCTTGAAAACAAAATAGACTAAAATCTTATATTTAAAATCAAATTGAATTTTCAACTAAATCAAGTATTTTTCTTTAGGAAAAATCATTTTGTAAGTAACTATAATTTTTCTTGATTTTTAATTTGGCACCGGTATACTTTTCTCTTCTAATTAAATAGATTAATTTTGTTCTGGGAGCATAGCCAATTTATGATATGCTGTTTGCTGTTATAAAAACTTGTACTCTTGGAGTATTTTTTTTCACTGTTAAAACCTGTATCCAAGGACTATATCTTGCTGGTATAAAAACTTCTTCTCATCTACCATAATTTTATTGTTGTAAACAATACTTGAGGTAATGATTGAAAAGAAATATAAAAAGAGACATTGTGGAAAAACCTATAACCTTTTATCCATTTCCAAACCACTTTTACAAATACTGCATTACATACACATAATTCAGCTCTCACATATTAAATGATACAATACCCACAAATTACATATCTTTCGGTCCATACAAGAAACTAAAATAAACATTGGACTGTTTTTTAGGCTATTTCTTCTGGATGCACCAACACTGCACACATTGTCAGACACTTCTTCTGAAGCTTAGGAGGACAGTTGACAATTTTTATTTTTTATTTTTTGGGGGAAGATGGCAATTTCTTTGTCTCACTGGATAGAGACCATCTACATCTGCAAATTAATTTTCATTCTTGTCAACATACTTTCTTTTTTCAGGTTAGAGCAATTAATAGTAAACTTGAAAGTATATCAAGAACAGCAACAATATATAGCAATGCATATGTTAAACCGTGCAGTTTTTAGCAATGTCCAGAAGTCACCATTTTATAGCAGTGTTTGTTGTTAAACTTTAAGCAATGAAAATCCTTGGGTATTATTCTGATTCGACAAATCTGAGTCTACTTCCCTTGTCCAGTCCAAAACTGATTCTGAGAGACTTGCAACTCAAAAACATTAAGTTTAAAAACAAATTTTGCCAACTCATCACCGCTGCACAATTTTTTTTTTCCGCATGCAAAACAAATATAATGACAAGAAAATAATACATCAATGGAGAACAAGGAGAAATATTAGCAAACAGGAATAAATCTTTTCCATCAAGCCATACTTTAATAAACTCAATGCCAATGTTTTATCAGCACAAAATTATCCTTGTTTGCCCTCGGAGTTTCAACCTAGATGCTTGATAACGTTAGTTTCCTATTCCCAGTCAAGAAACAATTTTTATGCTTCCTCCACTATTAACAAATCAAGTTTCACAGCATAAACAATAAGATCTTAAATTTAAAAAAAAAAAAGCAATCACTTATCCATCCTAAGTTTGTTAATGTTGAGTTATGTTAGAGTTTGGAAACCCATATATTATAAAATGAAAGCTCAGTGCCATAAATAAGCGTGAATGGATTGCATCACATGTTAATTTTATTGGTTTATTTTTCTGTTGTGAGATTTAGATGTCAACGGATCAGAGGACAAAGAAAACGCCTATCAGCTTTGCAATCAATCTTTTTCCAAACAACAAAACTAACTATACCCTCTCCGTAAGGAGCATCTATGATAAGAACTACCATCTCAAATTTCAGTAACAAGCAGTGTTATTAAAAAAACAAGACAAACATTGAACTGAGAAGTCTGCAGGATCACGGTTGGACAAGTCAACTGACTGATTAAACATTACTTTTAGGTCCCTTTTGTAGGAAGCGTTGAGAATGAGAGGTAAGGATTGTGATTGGGGTTGAAAGATATGTTAGAAGAGTACATAGAATGAAAGCTTGCATGTTACGTGGGATTGGACAACCCTATGTAAGTAGGATTGAGGAATATCATCTCTCCCTATGGTATTGCCCAGTTCCACATATATGGGATTGCTCCATTTAACAAGCGATCACTCTTTTAACATATTTTCTCAATCACAATCCTAATCCTCATCCCTTGTTTTCAATGCTTCGCACCAACGGGATCTAGATTCTTTCTAAAAGCTATGCATAAAACAAATAAATCAGCACAGACCTCCCAATGAAGGTAATGGTCAGTAGCATCATAATCAGTAGGAATAGAGACTGTATGGGCAGAAATCTGCTATACCTGAGAGCTTGAATGGTATGATCAGCTTTCAAAGATTTCAGCGGTCCTAGTATTTCGTTCCAAACAACATTGCTGGGCGTACAGAACGCACCAGATCATACCGTACCAGAAGGTCCATCCAGAACTGACATTGTTCAGTTTTTTTCCCATTCTTGGCAAACAATTTCCCAACCCATTTCTTCAATCAAATGAGGCATTCGTATTATATTGTCCTTTGAAACGAATATAAGAGCTTTATTTAGAAGTTCTTTTATTCCACTAGTACCAAAAATGCCATTGGCATCATTAAGGCTCATGATTTGATCTTTACGTTTTCGTCTAAAAGAAAGTGATGCCAAGAAATATCTGCCTTTGTACACCCTCTAATCCATCATAACTCATTTTCAACACATCTCGAATTCGAGGAGGGGCATGCTTCTCAAGTTTTCTCAATGTATTGTCCCATGCTTCTATGTCTCTAGAACAAAGACACAAACCCAGAACTTTCAAAGCTAGAGGAAGGCCCTTGGCATAAGCAACTAGTCTTTTTGAAAGTTCTTCATATTCCCTATCAGGATGCCTCTTTTTGAAGGCATTTAAGCTGAAAAGCTTGAGGGATTCTTCAAAGTGCAATTCCTTGACCTCATACATGTCATGAAGTAGTCTCCCTGTAGCAGCTAGCTCTTGCTTCTTTTTGCTTGTTACAATGACTCTACTACCAGGTCCCCCACAAATTCCCTTCGTAACCAGATGCTTTAATTGTTCTCGAGTACCCACATCATCAAGCACCACAAAAAATCTTCTTTTACTATTAGGCATTTCTTGAACAGGAATGGATTTTTCCTCCTGCAGTTTAGAAATAAGTTTGTCACTTAAATATTCCAGCCCATGCTTTTCGGATTCTTCTCTGACATTGTGTAAAAAGCAACGGCCTTCATAGTGGGAAGAGAATTCGTCATATGCAACTTGTGCAATGGCTGTTTTACCCATGCCACTCCTACCATAAATTCCAAGGATTTGAACTTCTTTTGACTCCATTTCCAAAAATGATCTAACACGTGCAACATGTTGATCAATTCCAACAAGGCCTTTTTTTTTTTCTGGGCGCAATCCAACAAGGCCTTTTGATTCACGAGGACAAGGATGGATAACATTCAATCTTAACGAAACATCTTTGACGATTTTATCGATGAGCTCGGAGTCATTACTACATCAAAGGAGGAAAAAAGAAGCATCAGAACGAGAAGATGGAATAAATTGACTGATCAACAAGTGTTACAATTATATGCTTACTACAATTCAGTGACTCCTAATCCGAACCATTTGTGGACTTAATAGTTCATACTTAAGGTAAAATGATGTCACAAGGTAAAATGACGTCACATTTTTAATCTTCATTCGTGATATCAATGGTACCGCAATCAGCATCGTTGCATTAAATTTTGATGTAACCTCCAGCAAATTTTTTACCCTTTCATGGACAACCTGTTGGAACTTTTAGGATTCAGAAGGAAACTGTTGCAATATCATTAGAAAATAACCAGCTAAACATTCTGATGCAAATCATGCTTAGTTTCTACGAAACAAAGACAAATGTTTTTTCAAGGTCTAGATTAGGTAAGCCTCCCACACACACACACACACGGATATATCAAATGTTAGAAGTTAATGTTTAACAAACAATGTAGTTTTCGAAAGCTGGCTTACTTGAAATGGGATGAAACATAGCCAGCTAGGTCAGCAGCATTCTTCAAGGCTGATTTCCAATTTTGCACCTTCAAGTCGTTTCCTTTAAACTTCAATTCATGACGAGCAAATGCCTCTTCATAAGCGCCTCTTTGATGCCGCACACTTGAGGGATCTATGTCGTAGAAAACGGGTAAAACAATCTGTTTGTTCACATTCTTGCACTCGATTATTTGTTCAAGCTCATTCAAGCACCAAGCTGAAGAGGCATAGCTTTTTGAGAATATGACGACTGAAATTTGCGATTCTTGAATTGCTCTCCGAAGCGAAGAAGATATTTTTGCTCCTCTCTTCAGGTCCTCATCTACATAGGGTTTGATTTTCTTCTGAAGTAGTTCCTTTCGCAGATGGGGCACAAAACAGCGTCCAGTGTCCTTGCCCCTGAAACTGATGAACAGATCGTGTTTTTTTTCTTCGGCCTGAACATCGTGTTTTATTTGAGAATCATGTAAAAAAGAAGGAAAAGAAGGAGAAGGAGAAGAAGAAACCATAGTTGGAGAGGCAGAAATTCCACACGGGAAACAATGAGTTTCCTCCCCAGAAACTGGATCCAGATCTTCTCGGCGGCCATTTCCTCCTTTTCTCTCAGAAGCTTAATATCCTACCCGTCCAGTTGATCTAACAGCCTGCAAAGAGACACCTCATGAAGCTTTTTAGAATCGCATCTGAATCATCCATCTTGATGTAATCCTGGCCGTTCATTTAATTGCACATTTTGCCAAATTGGTTAAGAGCTGAAAAGGCCATTTTCCGTCTAAGTACACGCGTGGGGCAATGCAGACAGGAAGCTCCGTCCTCTCGTAACCCATCGTTGGAAAATATGAGAGAATCCGGCTGAAAGTAGTTTCTTCAGGTATCTACATTACACCTTTTCCTCCATATCTTCGCTCTTCTTTTCCATCCCTCTCTTCCTCATTCTTGACGGTTGAATGTCCAAGTAAGCAGAGATTCTTTCCAGAAAATTAACAAGGTTATTGCATTTAAATTAGAACCTTTTGTCTGCTACTGTTAAAATCTAAGATGACCTGTGCTGTTATGGGCGTATAAGCTAAGCAATTGTGCTAAGATTCTTTAAAGCATAATTTTTGTTCTAATTTTCACATTGAGTTTCTTTTTGGTTTGCATCATATGATAATTTCATGGAATTATTATATTCTTCATTTATTTCCCCCATGACAAGCAATGTTGGTTTTGTATTGAGGAACATACATTCTAAACGAAGTTTGGAAAATTTCAATGAAGTCGATCGGTTGAATTTATATGGCAAAGTTGAGCAAAATTGCCACTTAAGATGGGCAAAGTTGCCACTTTTAGTTTAGATGGAAAAATTATGTTGGTGACTTATCCATTTTTCTTCTATCATTTTGGTGAAAGGAGGTCTTCTAGTTTTGTTTGTATCTCTCGAAATTCATGGTATTAGCAGTCCCATGATTTCTCTGTTTTTCAACAAAATCAAATGCGACAATATTCTGACCTTTTAGTTGAGTTGTTAGTTGGCGCATCATGATTTTCTCCAGTTTTCTATGTACAGTCAGTTAGAGTCAATATATTAGTGGTAGTGAATGTAATCAACAGATAACAATAAGCATCCATCCACGATTTCGTCTTGCACAAATTTTGTGCAACTTCAATACCTTCTGTTCTTATTTATGCAGCCATTTAAAGATATGATCGAAAAGACTAGGAATTGCAAACCAGTTCAACATACTCACAAATGTTGGAGAGGAGTGAGTTTGAAGTTTTATTGCTTATTGCTTTTTTAAGTTCTTAGAGTTGCTGTGTAAATCTATTTTTAGACCATAAAGTGTTCCCCCATCAGAGCTTTTATGATATCGCCACTGGAAAAAGTTACAGAAGTATAGATAGATTGATTCCAAATAATAATGATATACACATCTCCTAAACAAATAACGAGACCAAGTTTGCTGCAAAAGCTACCTTTGGAAATGACCAATTGAACAAAACATAACTTTCTCTTCCGTATTTAATGAAATAGAATTTGATACATATTGAACTAGCTGTCATAATGAACAAAACAGAATTTGTTGTTCTATGGAAGAAGATACAAGTTGCTGTCATGTCATGCAAAATATAACTTGGTGGATTGAATAACTGACGTGTTGGAATTTGCATTGTTATTGCAGGTGGTAGCTACATTATCTCTCATGTTGACTAAATATTGTTGAGGCTATAAAAGATGGACTTTCTGGACCTTCACCTGCTAGGAATTGATTAGACATTGTTGTAGTTGTTATGGAAGATGCACCTTCGCCTAACAAGAAGGAAGAAATTAAAGAGCAGCTTAGATGTTATTGTAGGGTCATAAAAAAGTTGTAATGCAATATGTTTGATATAACAAGGCTGTCTTGTATATATGTAATTTGCGCTCGAGAAATGTTTCATGTAATGCTGTAAATTTGGTTTTAAGATAGTTGATTCTTCTTCTAAACAATTGTACCAAAATTTGTAGCAAGGAGTTTGAAAAATACATGTAGTCACTTTACTTGTTACTTTATAGGCATCTTATTGTTCTCAAATAGATTTAAACTCTGGGTTCTCATAAGCTGAACCTTTTTTGTTAAATCAGGTTGTACAGTGCTATTTATCAGCAAGATAAATCTCATTCCATCCCTGCTATCATGCTTTTAATTGGACACTGTACATCTTCTCTCCATCCTCCAAAACAATCATGAAAGACATGGAAGATATCTAATAAAGTGCCAAATAACTTGATTCAATAAATATAAAAGTATCCACGGGAAACAAAATAAAGCAATGAAATAATGCTAATCCAGCCATATAACTTCAACCCATCGACTTCATTGAAATTTTGCAAACTTCGTTTAGAATATATGTTTCTCAATACAAAATCAACATTGCTTATCATGGGGGGAAATACATGAAGAATATAATAATTCCATGAAATTATCACATGATGCAAACCAAAAAGAAACTCAATGTGAAAATTAGAAAAAAAATTATGCTTTAAAGAATCTTAGCACAATTGCTTAGCTTATACGCCCATAGCAGCACAGGTCATCTTAGATTTTAACAGTAGCAGACAAAAGGTTCTAATTTAAATGCTTGCTAAGTTTCTGGAAAGAACCTCTGCTTACTTGGCCATTCAACAGTCAAGAATGAGAAAGAAAGGGATGGAAAAGAAGAGCGAAGATATGGAGGAAGAGGTGTAATGTAGATACCTGAATAAACTACTTTCAGCAAAGCTATGGAGATTCTCTCATATTTTCCAATGATAGGTTACGAGACGACGGAGCTTCCTGTCTGCATTGCCCGGGGGGTGGAACTTCGACAGAAAATGGCACTCTGAACTCTGAAGCGATTTGGCAGAATATGCAATTAAATGAACGGCCAGGATTATATCAAGATGGATGGTTCATATGCGATTCTAAAAAGCTTCATGAGGTGTCTCTTTGCAGGCTGTTAGATCAACTGGACGGGTAGGATATTAAGCTTTCAGCAAAGAGGTGTAATGTAGATACCTGAATAAACTACTTTCAGCAAAGCTATGGAGATTCTCTCATATTTTCCAATGATAGGTTACGAGACGACGGAGCTTCCTGTCTGCATTGCCCGGGGGGTGGAACTTCGACAGAAAATGGCACTCTGAACTCTGAAGCGATTTGGCAGAATATGCAATTAAATGAACGGCCAGGATTATATCAAGATGGATGGTTCATATGCGATTCTAAAAAGCTTCATGAGGTGTCTCTTTGCAGGCTGTTAGATCAACTGGACGGGTAGGATATTAAGCTTCCGAGAGAAAAAGAGAAAATGGCTGCTGAGAAGATCCGGATCCAATGCAACAAAATTAAACTATCTGCAGAAGTAAACTGAAGAAAGTAAAGTCATAGATAGTTCCTAAGATTTGAACCCCCACCACTGCTAGAGACTACAGGAAGGTTCTGTATTATAACTGAATCCGTGTTTTTGATACTATTCGTTGACATGGAGTCAACTGGGACAGACCTAGCCTGTGGAATGCGGATATTATATAATCCATCATGTTTTCTTTTTTGTTGACCCAAAGAAAAATGACAAGTGTTGGGCGGTTGTTAAGTTGTCAGTGTAACGGGCAGAACTCAATTTTTTATATTAAATTGTCTCATCAAATTTTCTCTAAAAACTAAAATGTAAGAGTTATGAAGACTTTCTTGAGGAAGTTTGGCACAGAAATGTCAAGTGACCACACAGCCCACCACGTAACCAGCCTATTTATAATGTTACGAGTCCTATGTTGAAGAGTCTGGAATTTATAGGCTCAAAAAGCTCTCCTTCTTTATTCTGGGATTGAGCTATTTTTTTAGATTTACACTCTTCACATTAGTGTTTTTATTGATAATAGACCAACGGGAAAGAGCTGCTTACGAAGGGTTATGACAACGAAGAGGCTTACCAGTAGAAAGCCGAGTAAAGAGTTGTGAAGTGAAGCTGTTGGGATGTCAACGTGCATTTTGGGATTAAACTTTTTCTTTAAACTTGTACTCATCACACATAACAGAGAAATGCGTGTATGCTTAAGAGAGTGGGGTTTTGGGAATTAGCGAAGGATTGATTTGGTGGCGGGAAAGAAAAACTTGATTCCAGCAACGATTCCCATGATAACAATAATAATAGTAACATTGATAATGCTCAATAAACCCCAGATTCGTTGCCTTCATTGGCATATAATGGTAACAATAACGGAATAACCTTGATGCTTGTGACCTTAGCATCCACCCGCCGATGACTCTGTTTACATATCTGTTGCTTTTCCGCCGCTGAAGGTTTTTGTTCAAATGCTAGAGAGTTACTTTTAGCAAAAGGAGGTTTTGTTTGAAATTAAGAAGAATATAAAATCGTAGAGTTATAAATCCCATCAAAACAAAAATTCCCTTTCTTGTTCTGTGATTTGTGGTGATCTTTTTTATTTATGACTTGCAAATTCAACAGTAAATACTTTTTTTAACTCTAATCATCACAAATTTGTATTACCTTCGGTCTTTAATTGAAAAAGTAGTTGACTAATTTGAGTAGATTAAAAAAATTAGTTAAGTTAGTTATTTGTAATAAATATTGTTGTGTTTTCTAAAATAGCCTTGGTAGTCATATGTATTAGCTAGAGTGCCATTTCATAAAACATTTAATATATATGACTACTATAAAGACTACCTTGAGATAAAGAAATAAATATGAGAGATAAAATGGATTGTGGTTTTATATTTAGGATCAAAATAAATGTCAAACCAGCTCTTATATTAAGAATCGAAAATAATATTTTGGTACATTCAGTCAACTAATATTTGCTATATTTTTGGATCATTTAACTTCAACTCAAGAACTCTTGCTTCATTTTAGCTTTCTTTCTTGGGACATTCTTTTAACCCGTTATACATAACTGTCATTTATAAGGAAGGAATCCTGGGTCAACATATTTGCACCTTTCTAAGGAAGGGATCTGCCCTTCGTGGGAGTCAGAGATCTTAAGAAGCATGACCAACCTTAGGAATTTCATTTTCAAATGATTGACAATCTTGCTATTTAATGTAGGATTTAATTGTAGAGTTAGTATTTGTCTTAAATATAAAATTATTTATCATATTTATCAATTTTTCTTAAATTATCACTATTGATACTTTCTCAACTATAATGAAATAGAAAAGGGAGGAAAGATATTAAAAAATATGATTATGATATTTTGAGATCTAACTTTCTAATGGAATTTGCCGTGTCAGATCAACACAAGCCACATCGCATCCTACATGGCAGCTTACATGGCATCCCATCTAAGTTAATTTTATAAAACACCCCTGAACTTTAAACTAGTTGCACATAACCCCCCTAACATTATAATACTGGATTTTCATTACTTTTTTTTTCCTATTTAATACTCGTCAAAACCAACTCATTACTTTCATTGTAACATTTTTATAATGTTATAATTTTATTTTATGATCTTAATAAATTTATTAAGATTTTGACAATCTTTTATTAATTAAAATAGGAATTTTTTTGTGGTAAAAATAAAATAAAAATGTTATTTAAAAATTTATTTTGACAAAATATAAGAATAAAAAGTGATCCTCTAATACACTATTTAAATGTTTGCATTGATCTATATCATCAATGCTCAGTTATTTTAAGAAAAATTAATAAAAATAGTTTTTCAATACTTTTTTTAATAGAAAACATTCATTGGTCTTTAGTAGGGACTTTAGTCTTCTTCATGTTAAGGATGAAGTAGAGCCTTGAGTACTAGGAGACTGGTTATCCTGCAATAAATAATAAAAGAATATTCTATTTAAATTAATATAAGTGTGTGAATGTAAAGTAAATCAAATCTTATAATTAAAGAAAATTACAAGTGTCTATTCTATTTGATTTGATGCAGCGTTCTTCTTTTTCTTCTTTTTATACACTAGTAAAAAGTAAAAAATGCAAGAAATGTATTATAAGCATAATACTTTTTGCATATCTGATATCACAATCTACCCTTTATCTTTACATGAGCCAATGTCCTCAAATAGCAAAAAGAATTAATTCCAACTATCCTTTCTTAGATTCTATAATAGCATATGCTATAGGATACATGTTCTTATTTGCATCTTTTCCAACTGCAGATAGAAGGTGGCCTCTAAAGCTACCTTTCAAGAAACAACCATCTACACATATAGTTGGCCTACATGTAGTTACAAACCCTTGTTTACATGCATCGAGACACACATATAGTCGCTTAAATTGTGACCCTTGTGCCTTAATCATCATTGTACTTTCAGGGTTAAATTTCATTATTGCTCCACAGTATGCATATATTTTGGCAAATTGCTCTGCATCGCAACCTTCTAACACTTCTAATGCATTCATTTTGCTTGATATGCAAAAAATTTTGAAATTTTAACATTATAATCCCTTCGACTTGATTTGCAAATGCTGTTGCACTCCAGTTTGGTTGGTCTCTAATGTGTTCAATGTATCTATTTGACAACCAACATGCAGTCACCCATTTATTTTCTCTTTCCCATCCACAATTGTTCTCCTTTTGGTGAAATGACTTAATTTGAAATGCATCCCTAGCATGAGTCCATAATGCACGTATAACCCATCCACAATTGCGCTTGCACTTCACCCTGATTCGTCATGCTTCGTTTTTTATATACTTGAACTCAATGCCATTCTCAATGGCATATTGCTTTAATGCTTGCCTGTAAACTTTGAAGTATGCAAACTTCATGCCAA